GTTTCCGACATAATAATAATAAACTGAGTGATACTAGTTTTGGATATAGAAGTTGATTAATTATAGTGTCAATAATTAAATTAATCAACAGATGCTAGATCTTAAACATAGGGAGATAAAGTGAGAAATTGGTCGAGAGACGAATTATTTGTAATTCGGGGGCTAAATGAGCAGTTTAGTAAATATTTTTATAGGAGCAAAGTAAATAATCTTGACCTCATTAATTGTTGCGTTCTCTTAACTCTTAAGACAATAAAAATGAGCATATGTATTCGATACTTATTTATTTGATTTACCATTGTGAGACTTATTCTAGTAGGTCAACAGACTCCATACTTTGGTAAATAATTCTGAATGCTTGATGTGCAGTAAAAATTATTTACGGTCACTGTGTTCGGTCCGCTGGGTCGATGACGTCCCCGAATTGAGCTCAAAAAGAATTATTATATCAAGCCTGACCAACAGATTAATTTCGGAAATAATAATTACATTGATCAATTTTAAACATAGGGAGGTAAATCGAACAATTAGCAGAGAGACGAATTATTCGCAATTCAGGGACTAAATGGGAGGTTCAATAATATTTTTATAGTGGTACATAATATTATTCAATTGTGTGTGGAGTTGGTCAGACCCATAGTTGGATCCACAATTGAGGAACCTGTCTTTAGCACCTGTTAGGACCGACAACTCAAAACTCAATTCTCCATCAAGCCCAACATACAAGCCCAAATGGGGTTCCATTCTAAAACCAATTGACAATAGAAGGAGTAGCCCACCAAGCTTATATATTGGACTTGGAACCTTTAATTTTTCGATGTGGGATTGGGTTTGCACACCCTACAACACCTCCTTAGGATCTCTCTGTTGTAGCCTATAAATATACCAAGTTTCTTAGCCTCCAACATTCAAGACATTCTCTGAATTCGTGAGCTTTAGTTTGTATTTGTTTAGTTTATAGTAATTCAGTGTCGTGTTCTTATATTGCTGAAGAACTGTTTTTGTTCTTTAATCACAAACTCTTTCAGAGTTTAGGGATTAAGTACTTTTGTAGCCAGGAGAGATCCGTTAGCTATTATGAAGTCCTCGTTGTGACCAGGTAAGTTAATGATCATAGACTCGGTTATAGTGTTGGTAAGATTAGGATGGAGTACTTGTCTTGTATCCAGACTATACATTGTGCGCGCAAACCTATCTATTAATTAAAGAGCTATGATAGGTAGTGAGACGTTCACCGAAGACATTTTTATATGTTGCTTTTGTTTTAATTTATGTATTTAAACACACATTGCATACTCAACATGTTCTCAAAATGTTTCGAGCTTGCTTGTTTATCAAATAATCCGTTGAAAATGAGTTTTTTTTGTTAACCAGAGTTAATTTTGAAAAATGTGGTATGATTAGTAGTTAGTGGGATTTTAAAAATGTATTAAAATAATATTTAAAATATAATGATAAAATTGAGTTGATGTAAAAGTAGGAGATTTCTAGACGATCTTCGGATCCGTCCTCTCAGTTTTGAGCTCTTAGTTGTAATCTTTCAGCTTTGGCTGCATTCTTTTCGCACATTCGTTCGCTCTATAAAATCCTTATCGTTTCGATAAAAAGATGTAAAAGTAAGAGATAAATAATTGGAAATGATAGGTAATTAAAATTATGTGAATGAATTGTGACTTAAAGTTGATGTGATATATAAAAATAATTGATTTGTATTATTTAATTATATAAATAATATTAAATATAGTAATATTGAGTTAAAATTAAATTAAATTTTGAATATGAAATAAATATGAGTAAATTATTTGATAAACAAACATGCCTTTAGTTTTTCGTCAACAAATCTTAACATACATGAGAGTACTTGTACTATATGACTTTTGGATAGTACATCTTTCTTATGCAGTACCAATACGGCTAGAGAGTACACATTCAAGTTTGAACCAATAAAATAGATTTTTCTCTAGGTCCCCCATCAAATGATATATGCTTTCTTTTTAAGTAATCTCAACTAATTTGATTAGCGACAGAAACGCGAATTTTGTTAAACTACTCTTCTTTTTCTTTTTCTTATTTATTCTTATCGTTATTCTTTTTCTTTTTTGTTTCCTATGTTGTTCAACTTCTGTTCTTCATACATTGCATCTTAAATTGTCTATTATTGCTCATTTTAGTTTGTNCAACTTTCAACACAATAGTTTTCCTTTATTTTTTTATTTTTGAAAAATATAAATAAAAGTGTTAAACATTAGAAACCAACTAAAATAGTTGAATTAAAATAGCTACAAGAACTGAATGAAGGAAATCTACGTGGTAGCCTAAATTCAAAAGTACACATAAAAGTTAAAATCTATATATATTAAAAGATTGATGGAATAATTTTAAATAATAAATTTGATTTTGTAATTAAATAGGTTGACATACTATTAAATGAAATACTATAAAAATTACTTTAATATTTATAAATAAAAAATAAAAATCAAATTATACATGTTCTAAATTGTATAATTTGGATAATAAAACGGCTTTCTATATAAAGAAAGTGGTATCAATTCTGAAAAATATTTTGTGATAATTATTGCAATAAAAATTTAGTTATTCATATTAATTACGAATCATTAAAATTTCTTATTCTTTCGGTAACCAACCATACGAAATGTCTTCAAAAAACATCTATTAAATATGTTTTTTCTAGAGAATATTATTTGAATATGCATGATAAAATTACATATATAATTACAAAATGAAAATTGAAAATCAGTTATTGAAATTTTATTATAATATTCATAATTTATAATAAAATTTTATTTATCAACATTAATATAAATCATATTGGTATGCATTTAACAACCAACCGTGTACCAAAATATTATTTTATTTCCGTTTATTATTCTCTCGTTTCCGTCCTTCAAGAATTTTCCCGTCTATAAATATCGCTCAGCCCATCACTACAGTCTCATCCCATCATTTCTGATTTTCGAGCGGTTACTTGTGATCAATTGTACAAAATTTCAATTACCATGTCTCAGGTTAGTTCTTTTCTATTTGTATATTGGGATAATTTTAAGAAATAAAAAAAGAGAAAATTGAATGTAATGGCCGCTAAGTGATTTTCTGGTTTCATCAGTGTTACTTTTGTATTGTTATGGGTCCATTGTTATGGTGATTCTGAGTGGTATGGCTTAAACAATAATTTCTGAAATCATATTCGTGACTTATTCAAATTATTTTTCAAATTTTCCGGAGTGAAGATGTGGAGGAAATGTATGAATTTGGTTTGGGACCTGGCTTGTATTATATGTCTGCTACTCCATAGTCTCTTAATCGAGCTCGATCATTCCTTCGACTTTTGTCCTTTTGGGTTCATTTGTCGCACTTTATTTGGTACGATTGTGGTTTATGTTTGCGAGAATTACCAGACGCATTTCCCCCCTTTTTTTTTTTTCGTTTTCAAATTGAAAACAGTTTTTTCGTATTTAAATCAGATTTGTTGTTTATGTTAGTTGGTCTCACATAGTTTGTAGTATTTTTCTCATGAGAAGTTTTCTAATTAAGCTTTGATGCTTCTAGACTGTTGAACTGAAGGTGGCCATGTCCTGCCAAGGCTGCGTGGGTGCCGTGAAGAGGGTTCTTGCGAAAATGGAAGGTTTGTCATCTGTTATCATTGACATAAAAGACCTAGCAACCTTTTTCTTTGTTTAAATTTGGAATTTAAATACTTTGATGCACTTTATTTATTTATTATTTCTCCAATTTTTTAGAATTAACAAACTCTGGCATTTTCATTCTCTAATTCCATTGATTATTGATTGCTCGAACATAGAGATGAGATTCTTTTTGTGAGGTGGGATTGTTTGCTATAATCAAGCGTTGGTTCGACTCTGCATAAGTGATTTCTTATGCTTCAATTTTTTTGAATTCCCAATTATTCATAGGAGACATAATTTGAATTCTTGTTACTGATTTGTCAAAATTACACGAATCCTCAGACGTGTCGAGAGTAATTTGTGGGACTTTTTGAAGTTTATTTATAAAATTCGAAAGTAAACTGATATTTCTTAATCAGCCTGCTAAACTTTAGAAGTGGTCTTTAAGTTGCTAAACTGAA